TATTGATATCGAATTATTTTGAAATCTAAGAGGTAGTTAATTAAATAAAATACAGTATCTATTTTTAACTGATTATGTTTTAGTTTACATGCAATGTGAGATAGGACGACCATTTTAGGCCAACTATTGATGATCTTGTCAATCACATGTTTGTACGTTGCAATGGAACCCTTTACTCGAGGCGGATTACCTTTATAATTGTTCAGAAGAACAGGTGCGCGGATTAAGAGTTTCATTATCAATGGGGGGCACGGGTGGCCCAGTCGTCTAAGGTGCCGCGATTCACTGTGGAGAGTTGCGTCTCTTGGGCACGCCACAAGCCTATGATTGTGGGTTCTAACCCCGGTTCGCCCCGATTATGTTTCTAGGTTTGTCAGTACCATACCCGTGCAAGTTGGTTTCACCGAAGTGGTAAACGTCTGAGACCTGCATCACTTCGGGCTTTCCTCCCACATTAAGCTGACACGCCGCGATATAACTGGAATACGTTAAAAAGCGGCGCTTAACCCAACTCACTCACTCACTCATTGTCAATGACCAACTTAGCTATCTGGCGTGTCATCGAAGTCTTCATAAATGTGATTGCCCGGAAGTTATATTAACAAAGTGTTGCGGTGATATATAACTAGTCCTAATTGCAGTACAGTGTATCCTTAGGGCGGTTTCGGCTGTAACGTTACCTCAATTTAAAAAGGTTTACAATATCCATAGGCGAAGACAGAGCTGTCTGGGGACTAAAACATACAATTGAAAACAATTTAAAAGTTAGGCTTTGGGCGAATCTTGCATAATCGAAAGATTTCAAAAATATCATTTAACGAAATTGAATTATTATATATAGAATAAAACTTTGGAACTTCATGATTTAGACAAGTTTAGGAAAGCTTTTTGTCCAGTGATGTATATTCGAAACACGTTCAACAAAGTGGGGGGCACGGGTGGCCCAGTCGTCTAAGGCGCCGCGATTCGCTGTGGAGAGTTGCGTCCCTTGGGCACGCCAGAAACCTATGATTGTGGGTTCGAATCCCGGTTCGCCCCGATTATGTTTCTAGGTTTGTCAGCACCATACCCGTGCTCGTGGGTTTCACCGAAGTGGCAAACGTCTGAGTCCTGCATCACTTCGGGCTTTCCTCCCACATTAAGCTGACACACCGTGATATAACTGGAATACTGTTAAAGGTGACGTTAAACCCAACTCACTCACTCACTCAACAAAGTGGTCTTGGCGCTTCTACTAGCAAAGCTCCCATCTTCAAGCTGAGACTTTGGGTGGTCGGGTAGTCTAGCGGTTAAAGCGTTCGCTCGTCACGCCGAAGGCCCGGGTTAGTTTCCCACATGGGTACAATGTGTGATGGCCATTTCTTGTGTCCCCCGCCGTGATATTGCAGGGATATTGCTAAAAGCGGCGTAAAACCATATTGACTCACAAATTCATCCTGAGACTTTACAGCCCATTGGCTTCTGGTAGATCTTGTCCCCATCAACCTGTGCTTGGCGTAAGAGCTGCCTCAGTTTATCGGGTGGTCGTGACCGGTAAATTGGTTGTTTGCGTGTCATCGTACCCGACAGCGTGGGTCGTTGCTCACGATATCAATCACTGGTTTGTCTGGTCCAGACTCTATATTTACTTACCGACGTCATATGTCTGCTATGAAGTTCACAGTAGGATCCGCAATGCATTGGCTAAACGTAAATGTCCTTTGTTTGAAATAGAAGATAAGATATACGAATACATATGTCATCCTTCAGGGTTTCGATCTGCTATTTAAACATATAATGTTTTCAAAGGATACACAACCTATTGATTACACCCGTGAAGATCCGGGTTAGAATAGCTCTTCAGCAACCCATGCTTGCCGTAAAAGGCGACTATGCTTGCCGTAAGAGGCGACTAACGGGATAGGATGGTCAGGCTCGCTGACTTGGTTGATGCATGTCATCGTTTCCCAATTGCGTGGATCGATGCTCATGATATCAATCACTGGATTGTCTAGTCCAGACTCGATTATTTACAGACTGCCATCATATAGCTGGAATACTGCTGAGTCTATGATGAATTTTAATTTGTCTTAGTACACGTGACATCGTCTACTCCTCAGCGCCCACGTAGTCGACACCGATGTCATTCATCATCTTGCAATGTACTGCTCAGTCAAAGTGGCATTACACGTGGCGGCAAGCACGCAGATGAGCCACGAGGTACATGAAACCTTATTTTAAATGTCCGGAAACAGCCACCCTGTGTTGGTGGTTGGTGAATTCACAAACTGCTTGTCCCCGATTCCATGAAGCGTGATGAGTGAGTGAGTATGGTTTTACGCCGCTTTTAGCAATATTCCAGCAATATCACGGCGGGGGACACCAGAAATAGGCTTCACACATTGTACCCATGTCGGGACTCGAACCCGGGTCTTCGGCGTGACGAGCGAACGCTTTAACCACTAGGCTACCCGACCGCCCCTGAAGCGTGATGAGACGATCCTGGGCCCAGTTGCATAACGCCACCTTAGCGCTTAACTCCCAAACTTTAACACAGGCTTACAAAGACCTTAGCGCTAAGATTGCTTTGTGCAATGGCTACTGGACAGGTGATATGGATCTAGAGTGCACTGGTCGGGTCGACGGGAAATGTGTTTGGCGGATATTGACACGTTAAGTGAATTGGCTCCGATACGTTGACTTGTACCAATCTGAAGAATAATGATAGTCAGGAGACGTTTCTCATGTTGCAGACGTCGCCTTGTTAATTGAACACCAAACGACGATAAGATGACACACAGTGTACTTTAAACATCTGTGTGACTCACAAAGGTCGGACCCGTAAAGATCCGGGATAAAATAGGTCTTCAGCAACCCATGCTTGCCGTAAGAGGCGACTATGCTTGTCGTAAGAGGCGACTAACGGGATCGGGTGGTCAGACTCGCTTACTTGGTTGATGCATATCATCGAATCCCAATTGCGTGGATCGATGGTCATGATGTCAATCACTGGACTGTCTGGTTCAATCGTGGGGGCATGACAGATTATAGATCGAGTCACCGCAAACGTTCAGGTTTTGACGTGACACCCCTGTCGTCTGTCTTGGTTGTTTGCACCCTAACCATGCAGCGCCAACTTGTTCTGTTGATTGTCATGTTAAGCCTTGACCTTTATATCTTATCCATCCAAGACCATCACTTGTAAACTTCTTTGTAGATCTGTAATCATCACCTACCTGTTTTGAGAGTATATTATAAATAGAAGGTAGACTCGTCCGGAATCCGGGGTAGAAAAGGTCTTCAGCAACCCATGCTTGTCGTAAAAGGTGACTATGCTTGTCGTAACAGGTGACTATGCTTGTCGTAAAAGGTGACTATGCTTGTCGTAAAAGGTGACTATGCTTGTCGTAAGAGGCGACTAATGGGTCAGACTCGCTTACTCGTAAAAGGCGACTAACGGGATCGGGTGGTCAGGCTCGCTGACTTGGTTGATGCATGTCATCCATCCCAATTGCGTGGATCGATGCGCATTATATCAATCACTGGATTGTCTGGTCCAGACTCGATTTTTTCCAGACCGCCGTCATGTAGCTGGAATATCGCTGAGTCTATGATCAATTTTAATTTGTTACACTTGACATCGTCTACTCCACGAAACTAAAATTCATTGACATTGCCTTATAGATTGCCACTTGTGTCGTTTCATAAGGGGCGGTAAGGTAGCCTATTAGTTAAAGCGTTCGCTCGTCACGCCGAAGACCCGGGTTCGATTCCCGACATGGGTACAATGTGTGAAGCCCATTTCTGGTGTCCCCCGCCGTGATATTGCTGGAATATTCCTAAAAGTGGCGTAAAACTATACTCACTCACTCACTCACTCGTTTCATAAGAAAATCCTACATCATATATATTTCATATCACATACATTTGTAACTTTATAAGGTGTAATGATTCTGGCTTACATGTCTTTGGTACTCATTTCAAGACAAACATGTCAATCAAGCGTTCCAATTACCGCAAGTGTGCGGACACTATCATAGTTTGTGGTATGTATACATTGGGTTAAATAATTAAGTAGTTGATGTCGTATTTGTGATAAATTGTGTTTTCCTTTCGCTGGATGTTGTGTCGATTATGGGTCAGCTGCGAGGAGTGAGTGAGTGAGTTGGGTTTAACGTCGCTTTTAACAGTATTACACTTATATCACGGCGTGTCAGCTTAATGTGGGAGGAAAGCTCGAAGTGATGCAGGTCTAAGACGTTTACCACTTCGGTGAAACCCAAGAGCACGGGTATGGTGCTGACAAACCTTGAAACATAATCGGGGCGAACCGGGATTCGAACCCACAATCATAGGTTTCTAGCGTGCCCGAGGGACGCAACTCTGCAGAGCGAATCGCGGCGCCTTAGACGACTGGGCCACCCGTACAGAATACAGATGGGCGATGGTACTTTGAGACAAAACACGCTTTTAATATGATTTTGTAAAGTGCCTATTGTTTAAAGCTTACTAAAGTTTTAAAACAGCGACAAACCAGAGAAAACTGATGCCACTTTGCGAAAACCGAATCTTACATGTTCAGGTCGGTTGGAAAAATTATCCCGCATCATCAGCATTCCTTGTTGAGTTTCGTCAATAGATCGAACGCGGCCGCCAAACAACATACTGTTTACGTAAACATATTCCGAGGAACGTTTTTGCGTCAATATTAGGTTTGCTATAGAGCAACTGCCTGTTGTCGGCGTGTAGAGTTGAGGAAACAGGAAACATCTTTTCAAGAAGTGACGGCACGACCCATCCCCGCACCATGGTGCGATGGACAGCCTGGTTCATGCAGTCAATCTAATAGATACATCTGTCCATGAATGCTTCTCGTTATAAGGATCGATGCAAAATCATTCCATCTTTTTGGACTAAACTGCCGAATCGTGCTTCGTGGTTGGTCCGCTTATAATGGCCCGCCTTGTGAGATCTTCCCGAGTGTCAATCAAAGTGCGCCCTTTTCTTCCAGGAACATCCTGATCAATGGGGATGCTGCGTTAGAGAAGCGAGGATGTGAAGGCGTGACTCTCCCAACGACATAAGAGGGAGGACTGGCGAGGTGTTGGTGATCACCAAGTCTATCAAGTAATTAGCTTATTGCCGAGATTAATACGTCATCTTGGGAAACCACCCCGCTTGTGGCGGTGACTTGGAGTTTAATGATACTGAAAACGAGGCAGTTACGGGCAGGAGATGTCCTGAGTTGAGCTTACGAATTGGACAGTGTTGCATTGTGCCTTAATGGTAAACAGTTTCATGTTTCCTACCCTAGTTGCGAATCCTGATGAAAATATTACAACATTCCAAAACACAGCCATGCACTAGACAGTGAACAGGTCAAGCAATACAACATAGTGAGGTCTGAGGTGTGGAATGGTTGACCAGTGATGGACAGCAGGAGAATAGCCTCCGGGTAGATTGTGGACGTCACAGCACTACAAACTCCACCTTGTGATCTATGTGAACTGTGTTACAACTATTCGTTGGGAACAGTGTATCTTGTACAAACTTCAAATTCAAGAAACACCTGTCCTCTCTGAGTGTCTCTTGCGAGGACACCTGAACTATTAAAGTTCTTCAGGGGAGACATATAACACCAGTTCCAACTGCATGGTTATTGAAATACGGACTTTTAGAAGTAACAATGAATTATAGCACACGCTGGTGGTCGTCTCAGATGCTATCGTTGTGTAGCACCAGTGTTTCATAACCAGGAATCGTTTGGAATCGACCATTCCCTTTGGGAACAACTAAGGTAAGATTCCTTAAGGTAACTGTGATCAGTCTTTGTGTCTGAATAGGACACGGTGCATGAGCCTTTCCGAAGGATAATCATTGTTGTAGATTTAATCGTGTAAGATCGAAAAATAATTGTAATAATTGTTAAGGTCATACAAATATAAAGTTCCCCAATTCAATATTAAATTTTGAAGTAAACCCATGACACATAGGACATTAATTCAGTTTCAACATTCAACGGATTTCATGACATGATATTATGCTTATGCGTGTAGATTTAAGTAGACTTCTTTATAAGCAGTTTTGTAACCGTGGATCTCATCTTATGTAAAAATTCCCAGACTGGCGAGAAATATGGTTCTGTCACTTGGTATTTGAAATTATAGCGTTGACTCACACACAAACCGGACACAATGTTGAATAAGTCCAACATAACGGTACATAAGGGGATGGGTTGCTCTTCACTCTCCGACGTCTCATCAACCAACCTTGCCGCAGCGTCACGTTAACGTCAGTGTGAATAATGTACCATAGATGCTTTAGGGACGACGTCCAACGTTGGATGACACAAGTTGTTAGGACACGCGTATGTCATCCTTGTCAAACAGTTCATTCCTCTACATAAAATCGAATTTTATGGCCACTTGGAAAGGATGTAATGAATATAACATTCGGGTGAAAGGTTCATACTGCGTTTGCCGTCGATGCTTGCTAATCATCTACTTCGAAGTCGAGCGATTATTTATTTATCACAAGGGATAGTCTTAAAGAAATCTCATTTCATCTTTCAACATGAAAGATGTAAAACAATACAGTGATAATTTTCCTCGTAATTCATTTTTTCAACTGGCAAGAACATATGGATTAGTTTACGAACTTTATGTCTTAAAAAGACACGTTACTTACTTTAACAACAGCTGAGTTGATCGTTTCTGATACTTTCGTGACTACGTGTCATATTCACCTTCTGTGTCCGAGCAAACTACACCTCGTTGTGTGCGAATTGAGTACGGATGAGAAAACAATATCTGCACCTTGTCAATGACCCCATAACTATCTTAGCAGCCCATTACGCTATTGATCTAGCGTATTACTGAACCAGCTTCCCGCTACACCACGCTGGGAGCGGGAGTGCTCGTGTTGTCTTAGATGCATCACCAAAACACTAACTGAAGTTCATCTAGTATGTCACACTTGAAATTAGGAAACAATTCTCTGATAAAGTTCAAGCTTTTGACAGTACAGTAAACTACGGTTATAACGAACTCAAAGGTACCACTAAATTTAGTTCGTCATAACCGTAGTTCGTTATAAGCAGATATACAGCATATATACAACAAAAGGCCGGGACTAAAAAATAAGTTCGTTATATCGGTCAGTTCGTTATAAGCATGTTCGTTATAACCGTAGTTTACTGTATCATATTTTCATAAACCTGATAACCCAAACCAAGAATATCTGAGGTCGGTGAGAAATAGATGAGACCATTATCCATAATACTAAATGTATTTCATCTGATCATTGCCGATATGGAATATTCGTTAAAGATATTTCTATTTTATGAAATAATTATTTTAAGATTTAATGAATCAGAAGCGTGTGGCATTGAATCCTGGAGCCACTCATTGTCATTTATTGACTAATGCTCCCGATACAGTCGCAAACGCACATCGACTCTGATGAATATGGAAAGGGTTTTGCTGATTTTCCACTAATGTACATACACGGACTGTCCTCCCATATTAATCTGACACGCCTTATTATGCCAAGGATACAGTTCAAAGCGGTGTTATACCAAACTCATTCACTCACTCAAACAACATCAAATTAAGATGCAGGGTATTTGCAAACCATGCTCTCCCGACACCACGTCAACAGTCCATCTCTCACTCACTCAATCACACACCCACTCACTCACTCACTCACTCGCCCACTCATTCATACTCTTACTCACTCGCTCACTCGCTCACTCACTCACTCACTCACACTCACTCACTCGCTCGCTCACTCAATCACACTCGCTCACACTCGCTCACTCGCTCACCCACTCACTCACTCACACTCACACTCACACTCACATTCACATTCACACTCACACTCACACTCACTCACTCACTCACTCACTCACTCACACTCACATTCACACTCACACTCACACTCACTCTCACACTCACATTCACTCACTCACTCACTCACACTCACATTCACACTCACACTCACACTCACTCACACTCACTCACTCACTCAAAATTAAGATGTATGGAATTTGCAAACCATGAGCTTCCAACACAACGTTAACAATCCATCTCAGTCACTCACTCACTCACGCACACTCACTCACTCAGCGAGTGGGTACCCTAACGGATAAAGTATTGCAGCCCAGTCACAGTGACAGAGATGACAAATATGTCCAAATATGTATCTGGAACGCGGCGATGGGTCCATCTTAAAGTTAAAGAGTTTCGCGAAAATGATATGCATGTATGAACCAGAGGAGAAACATGAAGATTGTATATGTTAGTAGACATCCTTAATGATACAGTCACCAATGGCATTTACTGTCGTCTCTTGAAAACCTGCCATCTTTAAGTGTTCCATAATTCGTCAGTGAAAGTAATTTTCAAGCTGTGACATTTATTTTCGTTTATGTCAAACAACAACGTGTCTGAAAAATGCTGGTCTTTGACGTTTCATTTTGACGCAAGAACACAATTTCAAATCGAAAATATTTTTCAAAATCGTTATCACAGCCAACTCACATCAAGAGCCAACGTTATACAGCTAGAATATTGCTAAGTGCGGCTTTAAACAACAAACAACAAAACTTATGGAGAGACTGTTTAAATTTGAGTTCAGAATGAACTATAAATATCAGCTATCATGGTCGTTTTACGTAAAACCTGTCCTTAAAGTCGACAGCGGCTGAACAGATGCACGTAAACAGAATATAAAATGTAAGGAAATGCATCCTGTTTAATGTTATTGGTTTCCCAACGCCGGAATTCTTGATAATAAGCCACGAATCAGATCAGCGGCGACAAACGTGCAAGTGTTGCCAGGAGTAACGGGTTCCTGGCAATAGAGTTCCACGCCCTCTGTTATTGGTGAGCCTTCTACACGACATCGAATATAACGTGAGAATATAGCGTGAGAACCATAAAATGCATAAAACTTATGTACATTTACTCATTAAGATTGTTATATTGCATACCTTTCAAAAGATAAATTAAAGCTTAAAGTTGTTATAAAATAAAGAAGTAATCTTTAATTGACTTGTAATGCGTTGTGTCCGTGGAAGAATGGTTGCATATTAAAGAGCCGAGGTCTCAAAGCCTTCCTCTTCTTATTACCATTTAAGCTCCGCCACACTTCCGAACATCACTTTAGAAGGAACGAACAGTGATATATTTATATAGCCACCACTAAAAGGAAACAATGTGTGTAATTTGTGGCGGTAATCCCCCCCAAGGTTGTGTAGGTCTAGATGGAGATGCAGGCTGTGATGGTGGGTGATGATCACGCCATTAGCCATCCTCAGCAGCCATATGATCTCTCCAGCTGCAGGAGTGCCCCATCTGCTAGCGGCCTGACCGCCGTTATTGTTTGTGACAGAATTCTCATTAGCTTATCAAGGCTTTGTAGCAGATAATTAGGTTTTCTGTTCACAATCTAATCGTGGTATTGACAGGATTCAGCCTGCGAATGTGAATTTAGCACCGCTCCTGATAGAGGTCAAGCTTTGGATTATGATCTCCCGATATGGCTTTTGCTTGGAAACACGATAAGATGGTCTGTGATGATCTTTGTTTTCTTCATCTTCTCGTTAATTTGTAGCCTCAGATGGGAAGGGTCAAAGGAGATATGACCATTTCTGGTGTCCCCCATTGATGCTGGAATATTGCTAAAAGGGACGTAAAACCATGCTCGTTCCGTCAGCCTCGACTTGCACTGTAGTACGTTGTGAGGCTGTCAGATATAAGTATGGCTGGTATGTTGTTAACGCCGCACTCAGCAATATTCCAGCTATATGACGGCGGTCTGTGAATAATCGAATTTGGACAAGACAATCCAGTGATTAATATCATGAGCATCGATCCACGCAATTGGTATCGATGACATGCATCAACCAAGCCTGACCACCCGATCCCGTTAGTCGCCTTTTACGACAAGCATAGTCACCTTTTACAGCAAGCATGGGTTGCTGAAGACCTATTCCACCCCGGAATCTTCACGGGTCCAGTTATAAGTTAATGATTGAAAAGGCTTACTTGACACAAGAGACAAGGTGAACATATGGCAATTATCATAATAACTTTAGCAACAAGAACTATTTTAGGACGATTTGATGCATACTTATATTACCGTTATTTTCAAAAACACGACGATGGTAGCCAGGTGGTCGCCTATCCGCATACCCTGGTCCGACTCCAATATGTGTCCCCATTGTGAAACTCATGTTTTGTGTGAAGCCATACATATAATTGACGAACTTGCAATTCACATATTAGTTTGTAGGAATGAAGGCAACGCTAGATTCTCCATTTCAAATCATTAATTTGTACGTCCAGGCTGTCCATTGGGAACCATATTTATATTGTACGATATTCCTCAACTTACGTGGTCTCGTCATGTCAACACTGTGTATTATTTTGAAGCAAAGCGTTATGTTGAATTACCAATGTGGCTGGTGTAATTATCCATGCGGCTGGTGTAATTGCCCATGCGGCTGGTGTAATTACCCATGTGGCTGGTGTAATTACCATATGGCTGGTGTAATTCCCTATGTGGCTGGTGTAATTACCCATGTGGCTGGTGTAATTACCCATGTGGCTGGTGAAATTACCAATGTGGCTGGTGTAATTACCCATGCGGCTGGTGTAATTGCCCATGCGGCTGGTGTAATTACCCATGTGGCTGGTGTAATTACCATATGGCTGGTGTAATTCCCTATGTGGCTGGTGTAATTACCCATGTGGCTGGTGTAATTACCCATGTGGCTGGTGTAATTACCCGTGC